ATTTTATATTGTATTATATCAAATTATAAAAAAAGTAGATAGATTCTATATTTCATCACTCATTTATGCAATTCTGGAACAATTTCTGTACTTTTTTGTTCAATTGTAAGAATCAATAGTTCGATTAAATACTTTCTAGAACATTTTTATGTATGTGTTAATGATATACAGTCATATTCATATTTTGTTTGAGTTTGAATTTTAAGCTAAAATTTCAGTAAAAATATAACGTTATTAGTCATGTACTCATGTAGTTTGTGCTGGGAATAAAACAACAACGTTTAATTATTCTAAAGATAAATTAGATGAAATTCTTCTCTCGTTTCAAAGGTAGAGAAACATTTTAATATAAAACCAAATTTATAGGCCAACAATAGCCACTATAAATTTCCTGTCATTGAATAAAATTAAATCTCTTTGAACATATTAAAAAAAATATTATGTCAAAAAAATCGGCTTTGTGCTACTTTAGCTTAAAATAGTACAAGTGCATTTGTATTTCTTCTTGACAGTGTATAAATGTGTTTTATTTTAATAAAAAATTAAATTTTTTGAAATTCCCGTTAACTTAAATTTCCCGTTATTTGTTTAGATGTACATTTATTCATAATTTATAGCATTAAACCATAGAAAAGGCAGACGATGCGAGGTTATTCATTTTATGTTCAGCCGACTTCATGAAAAATGCATGCGTAATCCAGCTGTGCTGCTGAATAATTTGAATACAAGGAATTCTGTAAAATTCATAGTTATCAATGCATGATTCATAGAAAAATAAATCACGTGTTCTTTGAGGTCAACCAAAAAGTTCACCATTTCTTATAAGAGAAGATTCTCTTAAAAAATGGTGAACTTTTTGGCTATTTTTTTTACTTTTCTTATACTTTTCTTATAAGAGAAGATTCTCTTAAAAGAAATGGTGAACTTTTTGGCTATTTTCTTTACTTTTCTTTTACTTTTCTTATAAGAGAAGATTCTCTTATAAGAAATGGTGAACTTTTTGGCTATTTTTTTAACTTTTCTTATAAGAGAAGATTCTCTTATAAGAAATGTTGAACTTTTTGGCTATTTTCTATACTTTTTTTATAAGAGAAGATTCTCTTAAAAAAATGGTGAACTTTTAGGCTATTTTCTTTACTTTTCTTTTACTTTTCTTATAAGAGAAGATTCTCTTATAAGAAATGGTGAACTTTTTGGCTATTTTCTTTACTTTTCTTATAAGAGAAGATTCTCTTAAAAGAAATGGTGAGCTTTTTGGCTATTTTCTTTACTTTTAAATTCCTGCAATCACGAGACGATGATATAAGGTCAGTAAGCAGAGAGATCAAAGGTCAAACTCACTCCTAGTTTGGTCCCACCGGAGTTCCTATAGGAGCTTCGAGATCTCTAAATAGACTCAGGAATCCATTTATCCTGGATTAAGGAGTCCAGCAGTGCTGGTCCAGTTACGATCCTATCCTTAAGGAGTGCTGGTCCAGTTACGATCCTATCCTGTAGGCAGTCCTAGTCGGCGGCAACAGGTCGATAGGATGCCAGACGTCGGTCCCGAGGATTATTTCTAAATTCAATTTATTAATTCTCGTTATTCCTGCTTACTTAAAAAATAAAAAGTGATTTGTGTGAAAGAAAAATTATTTTTGGTGTGTTTAAGTTGATAGAAAATCATGTATCAAGTATTAAAGTAATGATATTGAACGGAAAAGTGAAATATCCAGCGGTTGCCGGCAAGGATAAACTGAGACAGATGGTGCGATCTCAAACTTTATCTCGCGCCAGTAAATAGGATTCTTTTGCCGCTGAAATCCTTTATTGAACTGAACACGTGAAGAATATTGTGGAAGTTTTCTTATTTGTTCAAAAATAGCATAGATTATTATTTTAGTTCTGTCAAAGTATTCTTTTGAGAAGTCACATCTTCTAGGTACACTCATCTTCAAAGTAGTTAAGTAGCCTCATCTTATAAGTAGTTGTATTCCTTAAGTAGGCTCATCTTCTAAGTAGTTTCATCCCTTAAGTAGGCTCATCTTCTAAGTAGTTTCATCCCTTAAGTAGGCTCATCTTCTAAGTAGTTGCACCCCTTAAGGAGGCTCATATTCTACGTAGTCTCATCCCTTAAGTAGGCTCATCATCTAAGTTCTAAGTAGTTGCATCCCTGCTAAGTAGTTTTATCCCTTAAGTAGGCTCATCTTCTAAGTAGTTTTATCCCTTAAGTAGGCTCATCTTCTAAGTAGTTTTATCCCTTAAGTAGGCTCATCTTCTAAGTAGTTTCATCCGTTAAGTACACTCATCTTTTAAGTAGTTTCATACCTTAAGTAGGCTCATCTTCTAAGTAGTTTCATCCCTTAAGTAGTCTCATCTTCTAAGTAGTTTCATCACTTAAGTAGACATCGAGGTTCTAAGAAGACTAAGCAGACTTTATAGGTGACGCTTTATTCATAAGTAATGTGCGTGACATGAATATTTTTGGCTTCGTGATTTAAGGCAAAACGTCTTAAAAATAATTTTTATTTGCGGATTTTTCTTAAATAAAATTAACATTTCCCTTGAGTTCTTATTTGAATTAAAATGATTTATAAATTGTTATGGACGTTAACCCATTTTAGTTTCTTAAAATCCGTAGTTTAAAAATCAACAAAATTTTTCTTCGCTATAAGACAACCACCACAAGAACTTTCCTTCTATCTGTATGATGTTATAATGCGATGTGTTATACATATATGTGATGTGCTATATATGTAATGTGTCATATATGTGATGTGTCATATATATAATGTGTTATATATGTGATGTATTATTTATGTGAAATGTTATATATATGATGTGTTATATATGTGATCTGTTATATATGTTTTGTGTTATTTATTTGATGTGTTGCATATATGATGTGTTATATATGTAATGTTATATACGATGTGTAATATATTATGCTCTATTATATAAATGTTATAATATTTCCCTGCATACTGGATGGCTCAGCAGGCAGATGTATTGCTGCAATCCCAACCTTTATTGCCTCGTTAACAGCGACGCTAGATCGCTGGATCGCTGGATCGCTGGATTGCATCTTCCGCTTGTCGGATATGGAACGTACAATAATCGTAAACGGTGGCTATTAAACATACGAAATGTAAACGGATGGTGTTCAGTGTTGCCATATGACTTTGTACAAAATTTCTTCTAAAATAAAGTTATAGATTTCTCATTCACCAAATTTTTATATCAAGAAAAATCATTTTGCAAATCAAGGCCTCGCCTTATTTCTTATCAGTTTTATTCGTTATCAGTGTTATTTCTTATCATTACATATCATTTCATCATTATCTTTATTCTTCACAATTACAATTTTATGTTCATTCATATGCTTGTTCATGCAATTCTTCAGTTTTTGAATTTCTTGCCTTATTTCTTATCAGTTTTATTCGTTATCAGTGTTATTTCTTATCATTACATATCATTTCACCATTATCATTATTCTTCACAATTACATTTTTATATTCATTCATATGCTTGTTCATGCAATTCTCTAGTTTTTGAATTTCTTGCCTTATTTCTTATCAGTTTTATTAGCTATCAGTGTTATTTCTTATCATTAGATATCATTTCATCATTATCTTTATTAATTCACAATCAAATTTTTACGTTAATTCATACAATTCTTCAATTTTTAAATTTGTTGCCTTGTCTTACGATGATTTCTTGCAAATTTATATCTGCATTTAAATTTTGTTTATACATATTCTTTCTTTATCATTCATAATTCTAATTTTCAGGCATTCAAATAAATTCATGTTTTTTATCGTGTATAAAATAAAGAGAGAATATTTTTCTCCATTTAATGGACTTAATGATCCTTTGTGTCATGATTTACTAAATATATACTAATGTGAATACTGACAGTATATAGAAAAAGGAGAATGCGATAAATAATAACAAAAAATGTGTGTATAAGAATTAAAATGAAATGATAAATGATTAAGGCCTGCATGAATATGTACGGAAACAAGACTAGATAAGTTATATACAAGATCGAGAGCCAAATTAATAATTATATAAACAAGAATTTAAAATGTTATTTATACATAATGCGAAGAAAAGGAGTTATTCTTTATGTGAGAAGCAGAAGAAAGTATCGATTGAAGAAAGAAATTCACAATTAATTACTATTAATTTTAAAATAAAAATAATGAATTCACACAGAGAACAAAAAAAGTTTTTTTTTTGAAATCTAATGAATCCTTATCCGATGTTAATAAATTTGTATTGATTAAGTATGATTTCTATTGTAAAATAGTCGTCCCAGAAGTCATAATTGCTATAAATGAGGTTCATTTTGTGCTCTAGGCAAGAATTTTTTATTGCAATTAAAAATTGATATGAAACTAATGTTTCATTTCAATTTTTCAATGAAAACTAATGTTAATGAAACTAATGTGAAAACTAATGTTAATAATGTTTTTAATGAAAACTAATGTTAATGAAAACTAATGTTTTCATTGACCCCTAGGTTCAGTAATACATAATACGTCGCGACTGAGATTTAAATGTTAAGTTTTATTTGATCTAATAATTTAGTTTAAATTCATGAAATTTGAATTATTGCTCAAGTTCGTAAGTTGGATGGATGCTATAAGATGTATTGCACGGTTTACGTTTAATGACCAAAAAGTGATGTTATGTTGAATGGCATGTATGTTGAATGAAAGTGATGTTATGTTGAATGACATGTATGTTGAATGAAAGTGATGTTGTATTAAATGACATGTATGTTGAATGAAAGTGATGTTATATTGAATGGCATGTATGTTGAATGAAAGTGATGTCATGTTGAATGGCATGTATGTTGAATTATAAATATAAATAAATAAATTATATATTAATGTTAAATTATTTAGGCGGCTCTAAATTATATAATAAAAAACAGAACGCCGTTTTAATTCCATGAAATGGCGTGCATATCAGTTGTTTTTTAAAGGTAAATGATAACGTCTAAAAAATTTAAAACATTTTTAATGATGATATCGTAGATAATGCCATTTATAGGACTTAAAAAATAAATGATAGCATTCAAGAATTTTAATATATAATTTAATAATGATATCATAGACAGTTCCATTTATAGGACGTTAGACCTTACTTGTAAACTGACATTACACATTTTTAATGCGTAATATTATGAGAATTTTAATTGTAACAATTTAAATTGTTTGATGATGGTCACTTCCATTCAAATAAACGGTAAAAAAGAAAGAAAAATACAGGGTATTCAATGAAAATGTAATATATGGATATTTTTATTAACCCTCAATTGAGAAGGCAGTGTCAATGATTAAAAAAATGTAGCACTACTTTTCTGGTCATTCTTCGTCTCTAAAATAACCAATTCTAACAAAAGTACAGCGGTAATAACAACAGCTGTCACATCAGAAAATTACTGTTCTTGTTGGCCGTAAACTCTTCAAATAACAAAATACTTCTGCAGGTATTTTGAATCTTCAGCATTACCTTTGCCGGGACATGTGTTTGCTGTTATTTTTTAGTTTTAATTTATTTAGTACCATTCTGAAATAAGAGCAACCATAACATGAGGCGCTTGCTATTATTTAGCCCCATCACACCCCCAAATAAGAGCAGGTATAACATGATGTGTTGCTGCTATTTAGCCCCATCACACCCCAAATAAAGCAGTGGGGTGCCTGCTGTTATTTAGCCCCATCACACCCCAAATAAGAGCAGCTATAACATAAAGAGATTGCTGTTATTTAGCCCCATCACGCCCCAAATAAAGCAATGGGGTGCCTGCTGTTATTTAGCCCCATCACACCCCAAATAAGAGCAGCTATAACATAAAGAGATTGCTGTTATTTAGCCCCATCACGCCCCAAATAAGAGAAGCTATAACATGAGATGTCTGCTATTATTTAGCCCATCACCCTCAAAAGAGCAGCTATAACATGAGGTGCTTGCTGTTATTTAGCCCCATCACACCCCAAATAAGAGCAGCTATAACATAAAGTGTTTGCTGTTATTTAGCCCCATCACCCCCAAATAAGAGTAGCTATAACATGAGGTGTTGCTGTTATTTAGCCCCATCACACCCCAAATAAAGCAGTGGGGTGCCTGCTGTTATTTAGCCCCATCACCCCCCAAATAAGAGCAGCTATAACATGAGGTGTTTGAAGTTGGTAAAGTCGATCCTGCCGTTGCCCTCCTCGTCGACATCGTCTATTATTTCATCCATGTCCTTCTCTGTTATTTTGTTGTCCAGCTCCTTCAGGATCTCCCGGAGCACTTTGGTCGTGATGTAGCCGCGTCCTGCACGGTATAATTAATGTAATATAATTTATTATATAGTAAATTAAAGATGATTTAATATACTTTGGTTCAGATAATTATTATAATAAAATTAAAAATAATCATTAAAAAAATAATAAAAAAATCAAAAAAATAATCATTAAAATAAAGAAATTAAAATAATCATATAATTAAAATGATAGAATTTTATTTACTATATGATAATTAATTTATCATGTAATACATAATTTTCAAAATTAACTCAATTTATATAATTTATTATATGGTGAATAGAAGATGATTTAATACACTTTGGTCGTGATGTAGCCACGTCCTGCACGGTATAATTAATGTAATATAATTTATTATATATTAAATTAAAGATAATTCTATATACTTTGGTCGTGTATTATAATAAAATTCTATTTACTATATAATAAACAGTTTATTAAAATTTATTATATAGTAAATTAAAGATGATTTAATATACTTTGGTCGTGATGCAGCCGCGTCCTGCACGGTATAATTAATGTAATATAATTTATTATATCGTAAATAGAAGATAATTTCATATACTTTGGTCGTGATGTAGCCGCGACCTGCAGGGTAAATAATCATATCATTATTATAATAGAATTTTATTTATTATATAATAAATAATTTTATAAAATAATTTAATTTATATAATTTAGTATAAAGTAAATAAAAGATAATTTCTTATATGTCGGTCGACCTGCACTGTGAGTATTCAGAGATCNTATTATATCTTGTCTCATATCTTATATATCTAATATATATAAACATATGTTATTTAAACGACCTTATAGGTCTTCACGTTTAGGTCATTATGTTTGGGCCATCTCACTCATGCTTTATGTACTTTTATATACATAAAGCATTTATATACATATTATATACATATATACATATCATTCTTATACATTCCTTGAATGAGGTGTAGGTTGGCTGCGGTATAAATCTATATAAGGAATGTCAAATATTATAATATTATAATCTATACCGCCTTATATTATATATATAAGCAGCTGCGGTATAAATCTATATAAGGAAGGTCAAATATTATAATATTATAATCTATACCGCCTTATATTATATATATAAACAGCTGCGGTATAAATCTATATAAGGAAGGTCAAATGGAGGTGTGGAAGTAACAATGCGTTCGAATTTTGGTAATTTCCTACGTGTGAAAGACGAAAATGTAATACTTGTGGAAGAGTTTGAATGTGAATAAACATGATTCTTCCATGTTATCTCAATTAATTATATTGAAAAAAAAAAATTCAACGGTATCTGTAGAGTGTTGCTCGTTCAGTGGTATATTGGAAGGTTAATATATATATGAAATATTTATATTTTCATATAAATATTATATATGAAACATATATAACGTATAAGAAATTATCTTTTATCTCTAGTACCTTCCTCCTCCTACCTTCCTTATCGTACATCCTGAAGGCCTCCTACCTTCCTTATCGTACATCCTGAAGGCCTCCTACCTTCCTTATCGTACATGAAGACCTCCTACCTTCCTTATCGTACATCCTGAAGGCCTCCTACCTTCCTTGTCGTACATCCTGAAGGCCTCCTACCTTCCTTATCGTACATCCTGAAGGCCTCCTTCAGCTCTGCCACGATCGTCTCCTCGTCGTCCTCGTCCAAGAAGGACGCGGCCAGCAGGACGTATGTGTCCCACGTCACGCGCCCGTCTGACGTGCACCGTGTGCAGCGTTAATACGTTAATAATACGTTATTAATACGTCATTAATACGTTATTAATACGTTAATAACACGTCATTAATATGTCATTAATACGGCATTAATACGTCATTAATTCGTAATTAATACGTCATCGATACGTCATTAATTCAATAATAATACATCGTTAATACGTAATTACTTTATTAATAATACATGGTTAATACATCATTAATACGTCATTATTACGTCATTAATGCATAATTAATACATCAGTAATTCATCATTAGTACGTAATTAATACATCATTAATACATAATTGATACATAATTAATACATTATCAATAAATAATTAATACATCATTAATACGTCACTAATAAGCTTTACCTATGACTTCACTGACCAGTGAAGTAGACCTGACTGACCTGTGAGGTCGACTTGACTGACCTGTTAGGTCGACTTGACTGACCAGTGAGGTCGACTTGACTGACCAGTGAGGTCGACTTGGCTGACCAGTGAGGACGACTTGACTGACCTGTAAGGTCGACTTGACTGACCTGTGAGGTCGACTTGACTGACCTGTTAGGTCGACTTGACTGACCTATAAGGTCGACTTGACTGACCTGTAAGGTCTATTTGACTGACCTGTGAGGTCGACTTGACTGACCTGTAAGGTCGACTTGACTGACCTGTGAGGTCGACTTGACTGACCTGT